ATCCCCATGACTCTTTCTAAAACCTTTGCCACTCCCGAAAGAGCAACTCTCGTGCCAAAGCGCGGCTGGAGGTGCCGGCCGCGCTTCTCCGGCCCCTTTTCTGCCCGAGCAAGACAGGACTTGCTCCCCTAGATGTGTTCCAGCAAGCCCCCGCTCAGGTTTTCCTTCATTCCGTTGCGTTTGAACGTCCTTAATCCTTGTAATCTCCTTGCAGGCTCCTCCGCCGAGCGTAAATCCTGGCGGGCAGCGGCGTCCAACGCGGGAAGGCGCGCGCGTCGATCCCTGCAAACACAACCGTAACCTCAATTCTTCCCCTGTCCCTTTTCAGCCCAGAACGTGACCGTCGATGAAATCATGACCGCCTACAAGCAAGCCTGCCAGAAGCTGAATTGCAAGCAGATACCCAAACTACTGAAGCAGATACAGGTAGAGATGGCACAGGGGCTTCCCCGGCGCCAAACAAGCAAATAAGGAAGAAATTCTTTACAATGAGGGTGGTGAAACACTGGAACAGGTTGCCCAGAGAGGTGGTGGAGGCCCCATCCCTGGAAACATCCAAGGCCAGGTTGGATGGGGCTCTGAGCAACCTGATCTGGTTGGAGATGTCCCTGCTCCTGCAGGGGGGTTGGACGAGATGACCTCTAGGGGTCCCTTCCAACCCAACCCATTCTATGATTCTATGATTCTATGAAATACACCCCTTGATTACGCCCCTCACCGGCAATTTTTACAGTCGTTGGCCCGTCAGACGGGAACGAATTTGAGTCGCGCGAGCGGGTTTCCGGCCGCAGAGAGAGCAAAAGCGACGGAGCTCGCTGGCAGAATATTCTGCGTAATTTAACGTGGTTCCCCGCTGAAGCCGCGTCCGTCGCCCCAGGCTGCTGTGCAGGGCTAGCTGCCTCCCAGCACGCCTTGGAGCCCGGGGACAAGAGTGGAACGGGCTGGTTTGCCAAGCCATTTGTTCCCTCAGATGTTGTGTAAATGGAAATCCGCGCCTGCGGTCGGAAGGGGGAAGGAAGCCTGCAGGGAGACCGCAACGAGGGCTGTGGTTTCCCCTGCTCACACGAGGTGAATAAAAGTCCCCGTTTAAATCCTCAGGCCTGAGCGTGGCGCACTGGAGCCTGATTTTAAAGCTTTTTCCCGTGGCCCAGGAGGGAAGGTTTTTGCTTTTTCACCAGCTGCGCCTTCCCCGGACAGCGCCGGTGCCTCCGTGTGCGGGGGCAGACCCTCATCTTCATCAGCCACCCTTCCTCATAGAGCTCCAAGACCTGTTCCGGGGACAGTTCTTGGACCAGTTCTCACCGTGACCCGCACGGATCCAGCCTTGCAAAGCGCCGTAGGCATCGGCTTTGCTTTTGGGCTGAGAGTTCCCACATCCTCTCTTCATTTGGGGGGAAGATTTGCCCAATTGGACGCGTCGCCTCATTATTCCAGTGCCTTAATTCCCCCACCTTCCCCCTCCTGCTCCTCCTGAGTATGAAATGCTGAAGGTTTTTTTGTTTTTTTTTTTTTGCTTTTGCAGGAATTTAAAGATCTGGCTCCTAGGATAGACTGCTTAGATCTGAAAGGTAAGCTCCCTTCCCATCACTAGGGGATTTTATTTCTCTTCTGGGCCATCCCGGTGTTCCGTCCCACTGGCACGGCTCTTACCGGAGTCATGGTCCCCATTGGGGCTGTTGCAGGGTAGAGCAGGAGAGAGCCTTAATCCCAGCAAGAGCGTGAAAGTTAAGTACCAGAGGTGTTCCTGTACGAGGAGTATTAACGTCCCGCTTGAGGAGCACCAAAACAGCAGCAGGATAATTCCAGCGGCCCCTCACCACCTCTGAGCACCGTCGTCCTACCCCCCTGCCTCCCGAAATGGCTCCTTCAAGGAATCAGGCAGGGCTGAGCAGGTTTCCCACAATATTTTTCTGACTGATGTCTCAAAACCCCTCGGGAAAACTGGAAAGGTATTCCAGTGCGTTCTCCTGACGGCAAATATCGTCGTCAACGATGGCTTTGGTGGAGCGTCTCCTGTAGCTCCAGGAAGGAGAGGGTGAAGACCATAGAATCACAGAATTGTTTGGGTTGGAGGAGACCTTTAAGCTCCCCCAGCCCAACCGTTCCCCTACCCCTGCCATCCCACCCCCCAACCCTGGCCCTCAGCACCGCCTCTGCCCGGCTCTTAAATCCCCCCAGGGGTGGGGACTCGACCCCTTCCCTGGGCAGCCCCTTCCAGTGCCTGACAGCCCTTTCCATTAAGGAATTGT